TTTTGAAATACAAGAAAAAACAAAACACTTCAGCTTTGGAATTTTCTTCTAAAGAAACAAAAAGGAAAATAAAATAAAATTTATTTTTTTTATAAAACTAACTTGATGTTCAATTTCTTCTGGTAAAAGGGAAGTGTTAGCCAATTCAATATAAAGTGTATGAAGTTGATCAAAACGCCCATCAAGAAGATAAAGACATACAGAAAAAGTTTGAACTTTAATTTTCAATATCGAAAGAGATGAGGAAGAAAAATTAGGACATAGAGTATAATTCATTAATCGAATATGATATTGATATGATGCATCATAAAATATTAATTCATTTAGATTGATGAACACAGCAAGTATAAGATTACATATATATTCCATTGTCGAACATCGAATTTCATCAGGAGCAATATCAATGATAGGTCTTGTAATTTGATTTTTAAAAAATTGAAGATGAAAGTCTTTCATCTAAACAGATAAAATAATATGAAATAATTTGTTCATCTCGACATATACTCATTTTATATATCAAAAATTGAGACAAATATAGTCAAAAAAACTAGGATAATCTTCGATAGAAAAGAACTTTTTCTTTTAGAAATAATCTCTCTTTTAAACTTAATACATAATCTATTTATAATGGAGTAATCACTATTTTCTACCAATTAAAAGTATTGTTTTACATCAATTTATGTAAACGATTCTTCTTTTTTTTAAAGTTTCAGTCTAAAATAAAGTAGAAATCGAACGTTCTATTCATCTGTATCAGAATTATTAAAATATGCAGTTTTAGTTTGATTAATAATAAGTACAATCCTATTTAAATATATTTACCAGTAAAAAGACATTCAGCTATGTTTTCTTCGATATTATATAGACCAAGTGAATATAAATTAGGATAATCAGCAGCATCTAAAATATTTTTCATAGATTCAGATTCAAGATCTAGACATTTGATTCTCATATGAATTTTCGGTAAAATTTGTAAACAAAATCGATCAAGTATAATATAAGAAGAAAATTTATTAATAATTTCATTCAATGACCATTTGACGAAGCTTAAATGACTTGTAAATACTGGATCATGTAAAATTTTATTCAATCGTTCATTAACATCATGAAAAGAATAAAGTAATTCAAGATTATCAAGTTGTTTGAAAATAATCAGCAGAATTTCATCTGGTAAATCATTCAATTGGACACATGAGTATTTCATATTTATTTTGATTTATTTGTTTATTGTACATTCGAAAAGTGAACATTATGATATACGTTTTTATTAGGAGTCAAACAGACTAGGCCAATTGAAATAGAATGAATCATTAGATTCGCGTTGATATTTAGAAACAGCAATTATATTTGTCAATTCAATTTTAATTCGCCTAGTCTCTTGACTCTTTATTCAGTTTGACTGATACCGTCAACAATAACAATAACGATATATTTTTCTTTTCTCATTTGTTTAATGTGACCGAAAACAGACTGAAAAATAAAAACTTGAATAAAGGGATGTGATTAGTCTAATTTAGACTTAAATCATCTTTTTTTAGACGATTGACTGTTTAATTCACTTCATATTTTTCGGTCTTGAGATGCCTGTGTTATGTGATGATTATTTCTTTAATTCCTTTCTTAATTACTTCCTAATCATAAGAATTTTAACCAGTCACAATTTTATTTTTATGTAGAAGATGAAAACGAACTTTTTTATTTATTCATTATTAGAATTCATTTTGTAAGATATTTTGTTCTTTGGAAATATTCTGTACAATTCCTTTTTAAAAATTAACAATGAATAAACGCATTGCAATATGTTTCGAGAGTGTATAGGAATGAGTTGTGTTTAAAAACCTATTGTTAGCAATAAAATTATTTTTTAGACATATCCACGCGTAAAGCATCCATTCCTATTGTGTATAGATAATTTTAATCGAAAATATTGTATACATGTTCTTATATAAATTCAATTGTAAATCTTTTCATAGTCAAATTTTTGACATTTCCGATATAAAAAATCCATAGAGGTTTGTATTTAATATCGTAAATTATAGTAATTTCGAATGTTTTCTTAACATATGAAGAAGAAAATCTACACATGGTTGTCACAGATTTTCTTTTCAAATAAAATATTCTTTTTTTCAAATATATATATATCAAACAGTATTTATAGCAATGTCTCTTTCATGTTGATAATCTGTTAATTTTGATAAATTATGGCATACAAAAGTTAGTGTTGCACTGTGATATTGTTCACCTTATAATATTCTAACATTTTAATTTGAAGAACCTAAGCAAATATAAATTACGACTAAAATATTATTTCACAATTGTTTTGTCAGTTACTAAGCTTGAACATCCATAATCTTTAAGAGTGCAAGGTACAGTAGCTTTATCAAATTCATTTAGTTTATGAGTAGTAGTAAGTTTGTATTTCATAAATTGCATTTCTTCCTTTGATATATTTCTAAAATAAGTAAATATAAGATATCCGATAAGAACTGAGCCACTTAACGTTGCTATACAATTAACAAACAATGTAACATAAGACCATTTATATGCTTTTGAATAATTCTGTCGTTGTTTAAATTTATGTGTTCGAAAAGAACATCCAATAGCTATTAAACCTAAAATAACACTACCAAAAAGTACATTTAAATAAGACCATAGAAACCATTCACGAAATGATTCAATAGATTGTTGATTAACATCTTCAACACAAGGTTCACTAACATTGTGATCGTCTAATAGAAGTTCGTCATCGTCCATTTCTTGACTATTTTGTTTTTTTTCTAGTATGGTAGCGTATACGTTTTAGTCATGATAAGAAATATTTGCTTGACGTCAACAAATGAAAAGCGATATGATCAAATCCTAATCGTTGACAACTGCAGACGAACAGAATGAAGTCTCTATCGAACGCCTGCCAATAATATTATTTTAGTTTGACGTATATTATTCTATTGATACTATAAAACAAAATAGAGATGTCACGTTTTATTTGACAAAGATAACCAACTTCAAATATATAAAAATCATGATAAAATATAATCATAGAAAATATAACATTTAAAAGAAAGTTCAACGAGGGGTGCGTGAATACGGATACAACTTGTATCAACATTTTAGGCATATATTTCTGAATAGACATACGTTTATGTGTATTCCTCTATCAGTATATGTAACGTCTATATCGATACATGAATTCTAAAATTCTAACTTTTTAAAGAGTATATATATTAACCCTTTCATAGCCAAATTTTGTGTGAAAAAGGCTGGCGAGGGGTAGGGCAGAACAGAAAGAAACGTGTTACATATATGTACCACTGGCTACGAAAGGGTTAATACATGGGTACAAGTAACCATATATATATATCTGAAATTCTAGGTTATCTAGGTATATATTTATATATATATATGTACTGATACATGTACTAATAATGTATGTATTATGTGTCAATAGATTATTACATGTGTGTAGAAGTATGTTTAGATTGTCATAGAGAAAATAAGCGATATAAGTTGTATCTATACTCACGTACCTATTCTTTAAAAAATCGTACTATGCATAAAAAGTTTTTTATGTCAATCAGTTATACATACGAATCGAACAGATACAACCGCGATAGATACTATACTATAGATGAATGCAGTATAATAATCTCATTAATGACCTCACACTATACAAAGAAGTTCACTTCTTTTTTAAAGATTATTAAATAAATAGAAGAAAAAAAATTAGACGAGTTGATATCATTAATATATAAAGATAAATGGACAATTATTAACTTCATTTTTCATTTTATTTCGCCATCTATATTGCTAATAGACTGCTTATTGTATGGTATATAATAATATCCTATCTATTGATTGCTCTGTTTACACATCATAAAGTGAATCACGTGACTATTTACATCTTTTATTCTATTTATCATTTATATATACAAATGGATATACATACACATATAGAAGATTTTCCAAATGAGATTTTCTTCGAAATATTTGATTATTTACATGCACTTGATATTTTTACTGCTTTTGCTTCATTAAATAAACAAATTACGTCACTTCTACAATCAATTCAACTTCATGTTATCATCTTAAACAGCCATTATGATCATGAAATTGATTTTCTCTCCACTCATCTTACTTTTCATGCTCATCAAGTCATCTCACTACAAATTTCTGATAGAATTCGTAATCGTTCATCTATTATTAATTTATTATTTAATCGGCATCATTTCATTAATCTTCAATCATGTATATTTATGTTGGATAATTCATCAACTAAACTTCAAAATATTACTAAACAAATTCAAAATCTCAACCGACTTGTTTCATTGTTTATCTTACAACCAGATGATACAAATATTAATGATATAGATAAATATGATATAACTCAAACTATTTTAATGAACAAATCATCTTCGCTTCGTTCAGTCAAGCTTAATTATGATTATGATTACTTGAGTATATCAACTTATACTTCAATTACTTCAAATCTTGTATCACTTGATTTATTAATATCTGGCTCACCAAATACAGTATCAGTTTATTCAATTTTACCAATTCTTCGTATTTGTCATAGGCTACGATATCTACATGCTACAATAAAACATGAAATTCTATCTGAAAATAATAATATAAAGTAAGTTGTAATGGAAATATCTATTAAATATTCAAAATAAAATAAAACTGAAAATCTAATCTAATCTTTCCATTTTTTTCTTTTAGTGTTTTAATTCAAGAACCAATTATTGATGAAAATAATCTTCCTATATCACCACAACTAATATCTTTTGATTTATCAATATTTGCTATATGTGATATTCGTTCAATCAGTTATATTTTACGTTGTATGCCTAATCTTATTCGCTTTAAGTTGTTTCATGGATTACGAGCAATTATTTTATCATTTATTGATGATTTGGTTAATGGTTATACATGGCAACATATGTTTCAAATGTATGTTCCATTTTTATCTAAATTTGATTTTTTTATTTTAATTGAGAATAAATATACAAAATCAAATTTAAACATTGTGATAAATTCATTTGAATATTTCGTTAAACAATATCCTGAATGGCAAATGATTATTGATCGATGGTCATCTCATGATACAAGTTCGCGTAAGTAGAATTGCTTTAAATCGAAAATAAAGGATAGAAATTCGAGAAAATCATACATAGTATCTATCGTTGTCATTGATTATATTTTATTTTAATGAGATTTATACAGATGTTTCTATATGTTATTTTTCCATAAATAGATATACCATCTCTAAGAAAATATTTTTTTTAATTTCTTATAGATGAGATTGTTATGTTACGCACGTTTGGTTATCAGAAATACAAAAGAAACGTAGATATGACCATTCCAATGATTCATTATGAATCATTTGAAACACAATCAACAAATGTATCAAGAAATGATCATTATCTTTATTATTCAGACATAAATTATTTAAAATTGCACATGGAAACAATAAAAACACAAATTACTCCTTCTGTTCCTTTATTTCAACATATTAAATATCTTGTCCTATATTATTACCCAAAATTTTATACATCATTACCGATCGATGATCCATTGACTATTAGTAAGAAGAATAGCATATTTCTTTTAATTATATATTGTTCAATTGATTATTTTTGATTTTGATTATATATAGACAAATTGATTTATTATCTTTTTCTTTTAGGAAACCTTATGAAATTAAATGATAATAATATTTTAAAGCAATATAGCACTCATCTTTCACATGCTGTTCATTTACCCAATGTAAGCAAACTTAAATTTGAACCAAGTCGGGATGTAGGTCAATGGAAAGATATTCGATTTATTCTCCAGTAAGTATACTTAATATTTATTGAAAGTTATTTTTGATAATTCTAATATGTTTTTCTCAATGGATAATTTCATCTTATATCATATAGATGATATTCAGTCCTACAGTATAATAATCATTTTCAACAAGTATAAATATATCAAGTATATTTTATTTTTCTATTTTAGAGTATGTCCAAATGTAATTGATCTCGAAATGAGTCCTACAGATTTAATTTATTCAAAATTCTTCGATAATCAATCTCTTTTTTCAATTTTCAAACAAATTAAAATACTTAAAGCAGTTATAGACGATTCTTTTATTCGTTCTGAAAATTTTGGATCAAAACTTGTTCAACGTTTTCCATCACTTACACATATTGAAGTTCAACTGGAATCATTCGATGATTGTATACATATTATTGATATATTACTTAGTCATCTGAAAAATTTATTTTATCTTAAAATTCATTATGTTGACGTTTCATCAATTGATCATCATTTTTCGCGTAATTATATTATTGATAAACGCCGTCAAACATTTGGTTTTAATATTATCGATGAACATAAAATTATAGTTAACAAAAATGAACAATCGATAGAAATTAGATTATTGTGATTTTATATGTATATAGATTTTTTTTTGTGCAAATAAAGTTGAAATAAAAAGATCTTTTTTTTCAAACGATAAAGATTCTTTATTCTCTTTCTCGTAGAGAAGAGTCCAGCAGAAATAAATCGTTTGCTTCATTGCTTGATGGCTTGCTTGTGTGTCCGCAGGGTCAAAACAACATCGAAGACCAATTTTTCGGAAAGGACATTTCTTGAGGTATTTCGATACAGGGAGTTGGAATTTGAGGTCTGTTGGGTGAGGGTGGGTGAAAGGTCAAGAAACATTGAAAATCGATTTTCCAGAAAGACACATTTTTAGAGGCATTTCAATGCGGAGACTTCGAATCTGATATTATTTTTTTACAATTCAAAAAAAAAAAGTTTTTGGACAAATGACCATTTTTTTTAGAAAAAATATGTTTTTTTTAAAATTTGACGAAGAGGTTTTTGGGGTCGAGAAACTCGAATCTTATATTAGTGTTTGCAAGTTAAATAAGCAAAAGATCCCGTAGCATTGTAGACCACTATTTCTACGAGAAAGAGCTAAGCGAGTCCTTAGGCGAGCGTTACTTGTGTATTTTTATATGATTTTAAAGGTCTGATATATTATATATCATATATAATATGGAATGTTTGGTAAATAATGATGAATCATTCTAATAGTTACTACTCGTTATTTTCGTATTGATTAAATTAAATTATTTTTAACTATATATATAGATTCATATTGATACGATAGTAAAATAGCAACAAAAAAATCTATAATTAAGTTTTTAAACAACATTTTAGATGAAAAGATATCTAAAAAAATTGTAAGTTAAGTTTTATCCCCCAAATCTAATTCAATTATTAAAGAACGAGATCATTTAAAAGAAACGATTACACACAAATTCTCTCATTCTTATCTCTTTCCATCATGTGGGATATTAAACAGACCCTATTAGGCAATTGTGCATATGGCAAGTATGCATACAATCAGTTTATATATATATATATATTCCAATATTTAGAGTCTATGTAGCTGAATTTACTAATCAACATAAATTTCAGCAGTTAAAATAATGAATATAAAGAAAATAGAAAAATTGAATATTGATGTATCTAACGAGGTATCGATCATTTCTTTATTTTGCTTTGTTTTTGAGAAACAAATTTAGATAAAATTGCGTAACTTATCCGGATTACGGTGCTAAACAGCGAGAAACGACATTCGCTCACGCCCATTTCCTACACGCATTTAGCCGTTTTATGCCTTATACGACGATGCAGAAGGTGCTCGAAATCATCGGCCTGGGTAAGCATAGGTACATGAAATATTTTACGACCTTTATTCATTTATACTTTTATCGTATATCATTATCCGCAAGAAGAAGTAAGAAAAGTTTTTCTTCTCATAAAAAATATATTCCCTCGACTGAAAGGAGGGTTTTACGGAAAAAATGTGGGAAAAAAAAACGAAAATGCGTTTGTGTGTGTGTGTGTGCCAGGGTCAAAAGAACATCGAAAATTAATTTCTCGAAAAAGACATTTCTAGAGGTTTTTCAATGCGGGGAGTTCGAATCTGACGACTATTGGGTGACCATGGTAGCGGGATGGGTGAGGTTGGGTGAGAGGTCAAAAGAACATTGAAAATTAATTTCTCAGAAAAGACATTTCTAGAGATTTTTCGATACGGGGAGTTCGAATCTGGGGTCTGTTGGGTGACCATGATAGGAGGGTGGGTAATTGGTCAAAAGAACATCGAAAATCAATTTTTTGAAAAACACATTTCTTGAGATTTTTTGATGCGACGGCTTCGAATCTGAGGACTATTGGGTGACCGGGGGGGGGGGGGTGAAAGGTGAAAAAAACATCCAAAACCAATCTTTCACAGTTTTCACTTGTTTTTTTAGTAAATGTGAAGAAAATGCATTTCTATGAGAAAGAGCTAAGCGAGTGCTCGGATGAGCGTTACTTGTAAGGTCAATAACGTTGGACAAACATCTAGGGATGGGTACGTGGTTGGTGAGAATGTGGGTGTGGGTGAGGAGCCGGGTGAACGTGAGAACCAACGGGAATCGAGTTTTTGAAAAAGCGAGTGTGGGTGAGAGGATAGAACGGTAAAATACTCAGACCCACATTCAAATCTCAAACTCTACCATCAGATCTACATATACACTCACTTGACACCCACACCCATCTACACCGTCTCTAACGGCTGCTTTCTCAGAACACTTGATGAAGAGAACGAGCTTGATACGAGAAGACAGTAAATGTAATATCAGTCGCCAGATGTAATCTGCATCACCGAGTAGTTGGGAGTGGCGGGGTGTGGGTACGCCGACGATCGACTAAGACGTGAATAGACCCTCCGTGAGAAAAATATAGTGCGGTCATGAAAGAACATGTTATATTTCTCCTTAAAATATATGGTGAAAGAGTTAAGCTTGAAGCCTAATAAGCGCCAACTGATAGTTGTTAGGTGAAGATCAGTCGTCATTAAGCGAATGTCCTCAACGAACATTACTCGTAGATAAGATGAGTTTGGCTCCAGATATTAGATGGAAAATGAGATTTAGCTTAAAATCATACTACAAAATACAAAACGTTTTTGTGTACTTTTATAATTCAAGAGGAAACATTTGCGTCCAAATCAGATCTAAACTGGTATATCGATGCTCTCAGTTTAGTATTAACAGAAAAAAGGTTTACCCAATACAGTCGAGGGTCAAGTGAGTCGCTCCGACGAGCGTTACTTGTTTTTGTAAGATTATATACAGTGTCATTGAACAATATAGAAATGAAATTAATAAGTATAGTTTAAGCCTGGAAATAGCTGGTAATATTATAAAGTTTATAATTTATCAAAATGAAGAAAAAGTTTTTGTTGATGGATTTGTACGTAAAATATAACTGATTACATAAGATGAAAATTTTCAATGAATTTTAGGATGCTAAACAACAAAGAAAAAGCATTATTTTTAATGCCAACAAACATTGTTTATTAAAAAATAATGAATTAAGGTAAGATTTAGCATTTTTAATATGTATGTATATGTCACAGTATATATCAATATGTGTATTTTGTAGCCTTCAAAAATTAGAAGAATTAGATGAACTTTTAGAAAAATTTCTAAAAGATATAATTTCAAGTGCGACAAATTAACAACATTATTATAGAATTAAGTATTGTACCCTTCCTTGATTACTGATTAAAAATCAGTATATAGGCAATGGCGCATATGGAAAGTATGTAGATAATTAGTTTATATATATGTATATATACATAAATTCCAATATTTAGAGTCTATGTAGCTGAATTTACTAATCAAAATAAATTTGTTGCTGCTAAAAGAATAAAAGTAAAACAAGCACAACGAATGAATATCGACGTTGAAAACGAGGTATTTATCGTTTCTTTATTTTCCTTTGTTTTTGGAAAAAAACATTTAGATAAAACTGCATAAACTATCCGGATCACGGTGTTAAAACGACGAGAAACGGTATTCCTTCACGCCCGTTCCCGGACTGAATTGAGCCGTTTTTTAGTCGTTTCATGTCTTATACGACGCAGGAAACGGCGCTCGAAATCATTGGCCTGGGGCACTACCTTATATGGCACCAGAAGTAAACACTTTATATTATATTATATATATAATATAAAATTTCGTTTAGATTTTGGTCAAGCAACCATACCGTGGTGAACCAGCTGACATCTGGTCAGCTGGTATCATCTTGATTACCATGCTGATGGCTGGTAAATTTCGTTATCAATATATTTTTTTTGTTTTTTTTATAGAACGTCCGTGGTGAACAGCCGCCGAAGAAGATCATTCGTATAAAACCTGGCTGGCTGGTGAACATGGTTACCATCCATGGCCAGAAATTAACAACACCATCAATGATCTTCTCCGGCGAATGTTAATGCACGATCCCGGACGACGTGCTACAATTAAAGAAATTTTATGTGACAAATGGATGCACCAGGTAATATAATATTCATTAAGTTTATCATTCACACTTGTCCGACGTATAGATATATAAGAGAAAGTTTTAAATGTCCCAGGTTTCACTGATTTTTCCAAAACATGATACTTAGCAAGTATGTTAGTCTTTATTCTAAATGTTGAATCTCTTTCCACATTCCCAAAGAACAATGATAGACATGACATATGTAATGGAAAAGTTTTCCTTTATTATAGAATGCTTCTGTCACCTTCCATATATGAATCTTATAGTGATTATTCTTAAAGCCTTCCAATACGACAGTTTATGATGACATAAAATTACAAAATAACTTCTTTCTCACACTGAGTTTAAATAAATGTTTTTTTTCTCTTCTAGATGAATGAAAAATGATTTGGACACTAAATTTTTTGGAGTTTTTGCTTTTCAATGAATTTGTAAATTTTTAATTCATATTAAATAATGATCTGTACAATTTTGATCCTTTTTTTGCTTTTTATTGTTTTTTTGTCGAAATATAATAAAATAACATTTATGAAAAAATATCTTTACGACGATCACTATCACTCTAGGTTATAAAAGTTCATCAGTTCACACGAATATAAACTTTACAAATGAAATTAATCTATAAAATACTTCATATTGTTTCAACTAAAATTTGATTTACTATTTTGAGAATTATTTATAAAATTCTTCTTTCATAAGTACTTCGTGATAGCATTATTTGTATCATTTATATTTTGCAAAACAGATACCTAAATCACCGGACAATATTCTTCATAAAAGTGCTTTTCGTTTTGAAGAGTTAGCGAAATTAGGATGTATATTATTTATATTTCAGATAATTTTTTTTTATTAGTCAAAATAAATGAAAGTTTTGTCTTTTGATCTTTGTTCAATTTCATTATGGATGAATAAGAGTAGAAGTAAGTTTGTTTTTCATAAATTGCATTTCTTCCTTTTATATATTTTGGTATTGCAATATAAGGTATCCGATATAAGCTAATGCATTTAACGTTGTTATACAATTAACAAATAATGTAATATAAGACCATTTATATGCTTTTTGATAATTTTGTTGCTGTTTAAATCTAAGCGTTCGCAGGGAACATCCAATAGCTATAAAACCTGGAGTAACACCACAAAAAAATATATTTAAATAAGACCACGCTTCTGAATAATTGTGTTGCTGTGTAAATCTAAGTGTTCGAAAAGAACATCCAGTAGCTATAAAACCACCACAAAGTATGTTTAAATAAGACCATATAAACCATTCATGAATTGATTCAATAGATCGTTGATTAACATTTTCGGCATAAGATTTGTTAACACTGTGATCATCTAATAGTAGTTCGTCATCATCCATTTCTTGAGTATTTTGTTTTTTTTCTAGTATGGTAGCGTATACGTTTTAGTCATGATATAAAAAATATTTACTCGATGTAATAAAATAAAAAACGACGTGATCAAAGCCTAATTGTTTGACAACTGCAGATGAAGAGAATGAAGTCTCTATTGAATGCCTGTCAATAATATTATTTTAGTCTGACGTATATTACTCTATTGATACTATACAACAAAATAGAGATGTCATGTTTTATGTGACAAAGATAACCAACTTCAAATATATAAAAATCATAATAAAATAGATAAAAATTGAATGAATGACGCTCTGCATCTTTTGTCGCATTCACTTAGTTATTTCTCGTCTATTTAAATTTAGTCAATTTTCTTTTCAAGGATAAGTGTGGGTGTGGATGTCCGTGTGAGTGGGCAAATGTGTCTTTTCGAATAACTCACACCTACACCCAACCACATCCTAGAAAAAAATAAAATGTTTTTGATGCAACCGCTAGAATACATAGAGCTATCAATCACATGTGTCTATATGGTGTGTAAAAGCTTATCAAACATTATAGATTAAATGACATATAAAAACTTCAGGAGAATAAATATACACATTTCGTATTCTGCCTAATAACGTGAAATTATGGCTTGTGCACGTTTTTTTTAAGTTGATTCAGATAATAAGA